TCTCACATTCTCTCACACCCTTGACATCACTCCTCTGTTTCCAAGTGACGGTCCCCTTCCTTTTCTCTCTCTACCCACCCCCTCCACCAGCCATCCTCTCTCCTGCTGTACTAGCGACAGAGGAGAGGCAGAGAAGGGGACGGACAGGCCGATGGCACTTGCTCCTGAGCCAGATATTAGGATGAGAGTGATGGGAGGGTCAAGGATATTTTCTCCACCCAAAGTCCCCCAGACAACTCAAGTTCAAAGTGTCCAAAACTGAACTCGTACCATAAGCTCACGTACTTTGCCCATCTGATTTTATACCTTAGAAGCACAAAGTTCAAAACCATGAACAAAATTTGGACTCATCATCCCCCCTTCCTGAACTGTTCGCTCTTCATCTCCTTTCTTCTCCTCCTCCCCGTCTCTGCTCTTAGAGAATGGAATCACCATCCACCCAGCTGCCTTGGCCTGACTCTCCTTAACCACTGACACCTGGTAAGTTCCCAGATGCCAGGAATAAGCCACCTTGTTGACAGCTCTCCAGTCTGACTGTTCTCATCACCTCCCCTGCCCGCTTCAGACCATGCTCTCTTCCCACCTGGGTCATTGCAGTTTCTTCCTGCTGGGACCTTCCCTCCCCACTCGGGTCCTGCATGCTGAACACCACACTCGGAGTTCACTTTCTAACACAGAGATCTTGACAAAGACAAACCTACACAGGATATTAAAAAGGAGAGACATCCCTTTGTCGACAAAGGTCCATCTAGTCAAAGCTATGGTTTTTCCAGTAGTCATGTATGGATGTGAGAGTTGGACCATAAAGAAAGCTGAGTACCAAAGAACTGATGCTTCTGAACTGTGGTGTTGGAGTCCCTTGAGAGTCCCTTGGACTGCAAGGAGATCAAACCAGTCCATCCTAAAGGCAATCAACCCTGAGTGTTCACTAAAAAGACTGATGCTGAAGCTGAAGCTTCAATACTTTGGCCACCTGAGGCAAAGAGCAGGCTCACTGGAGAAGACCCTGATGCTGGGGAAGATTGAGGGCAGGAGGAGAATGGGACGACAGAGGATGAGATGGCTGGATGGCATCACCGACTCGATGGACATGACTTTGAGCAAATTCCGGGAGATAGTGAAGGACAGGGAAGCCTGGTGTGCTGCAATCCATGGGGTCACAGAGTAGGACATGACTTAGCAACTGAACAACAACCAGTCACGTTATCCTCTGCCTAAATTCCTTGACTCTTGAGAGCTGTCAGTCCAAAACCCTTCAGCAAGACACCCAGGTCCTCCTGGTAGGTCCCCCTCACCTTAAACCTCCCATTCCACAGGCAGCCTCAACCTCAGGCAGGCCTCCACAGTCACTGTGTAGCTCACGCTGGTCCCTCTGTGTGAACCCCACCACACACACATGCACACACTCACATACACACACCACTCCTCTCTGCAAATGCCTACTTCCCCCTTACGCCTCTTTGCCTCCCCCAAGACACAGATGTCCCTCTTAATCTCACCAGGCACACTTCTGTTGGTGGCTGTTTCCCTCCACTAGAATGTCAGCCCCTCCTGGACAGGGATCATAATCTTTTCCTTCTTTATATTGTAAAACCCTAACATGGAACCCAGGATGCAGTACGACTGCATGTGTGTGTGTTAGTCGTTCAGTTGTGTCCAACTCTTTGCAACCCCATGGTCTGTCCATGGGATTCTCCAGGCAAGAATACTGGAGTGGGTTGCCATCCCCTCCTCTAAGGGATTCTCCTGACCCAGGGATTGAACCCGGGTCTCCTACATTGCAGGCAGATTCTTTACCATCTGAGCTACCAGGGAAGCCTACAACTGCAAGTAGGCAGCACTTATTATATGACAGAAATGACTTTATATTCTCAAAGCAATTCTTTGAGAGAAATTATCTCAATATCTAAAGATGAAACAAATGAGGTTCAGAGGTTAGAAATGTGTCCAAAGTCACCTGTCAGGGAATTCCCTGGCACTCCAGCATTCAGGACTGCACTTTCACTGCCAAAGGCCTGGGTTCAATCTCTGCTCAGGAAACTAGATCACACAAGTTACATAGCACCGCCAAAAAAAAAGAAAAAAAGTTCACATACACTATAAGTAGTACAGTCCAAATTCCAAGACTGCCTTATCTCCAAGCTCATGCTCTCAACTACCCCATCACATGGAGCTAGTATTCCAGACACATCTGACAGATAGATGAAGTCACTATAGCGGTGATTCTCCAAATTCAGAGGGCACGAGAACAGGCAGTCCAGGATAGATTCCATAGATCGCAAGTTTAACAAGCATCCCCAGCTGACTCAACGTGGACTCCTGGGACCAACGCTTAAGCAAATGACTCTTTTTGAGACCATGTAAACTCAGATACAGTTCCCTATATTGCCACACGGTGGCAGTATAGCCCCAGTGTTCATCAACTTCCCGTCTTAAAACTAAAATTGGAAGAGGTAGTTAGTCCCAGAAGGTGAGGGATCAGCTTGGCATCTCTGATCAGCAGAGATCACTGCCCAGACAATCATCTTCCCACATGGGTGCAACTAAGCTTTCCCTCTAAAAAGGTTTCTAGGTCACACTGTACATCAGTCAGTGTGTTTCCTGTAGCGAGAGCCACAGCAGAACACCCGTAAAAATCCACCTCTTCAGAGGGTTTAAAGTACAAGGGGGTTGTGGGCAAGTGACATGAAAATGGACAAAGAGACTGTGGCATCCTCAGGAGAACTCTGCAAAAAACATTACAGAAAGGACCCAAGCGAGTTAGCCACCTTGGGTACCCCAGGGCGCAAGCCCTGACCCCCGCAATGGCCGCATCCTAACCCGTCATTGGGTACACTCATACAGCTTTCCGAGCACAACCTCATCTGTTGTCTCACATTGATACCACCCTGTTATCAATTGGGTGACATTAGCTATCAACCCTGTTGAGGCTGAAACCACCCCCATTCGACAGGTGTGGAAAACTGAGGCTCAGAGAAGGTGAGTAATGTAGCTCTGGGCAGATGAATAGCTATGTGGTGGGTGTCTCAATTTTGGCTGGGAAGCACTAGAACCTCAATTAATTTAATTTAATTAATTAAAACACCTTGCCTGGGGTCCACTCTAGACCAATCAGATCAGAATTTTTGATGGCAGGGCACACAGCCTCAGGAAGTGAAATTTTTTAGTGCCTCAGTTGATTCAAATATTAATCAAGTTGAAAACTGCTGCCCCAGCTGGGGCAGCAGCCACTGGCTGCCGACGACCACCGAGGGGATCGGAGAAGGGTAGGGGGAGCACCCTCGTGGAGGGACTGGTGACCCACAGGGCACAGATCCAACCAGGGCCCAACGCCCTCTAGACTCTCCGGGAGAACCTCCCTGCTTCCGCCCGCAGAGGGCAGTATAACTCAGGGCTGAGCGGCAAGCCGGCCTAGGAGTCAGGGGCCCCGGCGCCAGGCAGTGCAGGTTCGTCATCTCTGGGGGACTTTTTCCTTATCTGCGAAGCGGAGCTAACAATAGCACCTTACTTGTGGACTCCTGAGGACTAACTGAGCTTTAATGTACTTCCGGGGCAGCCAGCCACTAGCCAGTACAGCCCAGAGCCTCTGGCTAGGGATCTGCCTGCTTTTTCTTCTCCAGGCCTGGCCCCTGGCGTCCTTCTTCCTCTCCTTCCTGAGTTGCTAGGTGGCTGATCAGGAGGGTGGTGGCTCAGGCATGCCTGCCTCTGGTCCCCTCCTCCACGCAGTAAGGGGTACGATGTCACAAAAGGGGCGCTGTGGAAAGTGAGGCCATGTGTGAACAGTGGGCCCGAAAGCACCCAGCACCACTTCCCCTGTGACCTCTTGCAAAGCGGAGTTGTTTAGCCACTAAGTTGGGCCCAACTCCTTGAGATCCCGTGGACTGTAGCCCGCCAGGCTCCCCTGTCCATGGGATTCTCCAAAGCAAGAGCACTGGACTGGGTTGCCACTTCCTTTTCCAGGCATCCTCCCCAACCCAGGGATGAAACCTGCATCGCCTGCGTTGGCAAGCAGATTCTTTACCACTGAGCCACTAGGGAAGCCAGCCAAGTGGGGAGCCCCCTGGAACTGGCCGGAGCTGGAGATGCCAACAGAACCGAGCAGGCAGAATTCAGCTTCAGAAATAGGGCCATGTCTGTGCCCTTTCCCTGGTCCCTCGGCCTTGGCCAAGAGGTGCTGTTCTGGAGCCAGACAGCTCCTTGGACCCCTCAGCAAGCAGGTCTGAGACTCGGAGTCACAACAGCCCCACTCACTTCCCCTGGGGGTGATTACATGTCTCCTGCGGGGTAAGAGAACTCTCCTTGATTTCGGGGGCCGGAGAACCCCAATTCCACTTTCTGGGATCCCTTTCTTCCTCTGCAGTGTCATCTCAATGTGAGATGCAAGAAGAGACACCGGGCTCCACCCCTCCTCCCCCAGAGCCCACCCAGGGGCAGGGGAGGTTGGCCAGACTCCTAGGGCTGTGCTGGGGGGCTCCACCTGGATTCCGGACTTCCTCCCGCCCCATCCATCTCATTTCTGTTATGAATGGTAACCCGAGGCTGGCCTGCCCGGCTTCCCCACGCAGTTGGGGTAAAGCTCGAAGGAAGGAGACTGGCAAGCCTCAGAACCTCTTTCAGGGGAGGGGGCGGGCAAAGACTCAGGCAAAAGACACACACGCTTTATTTTTCCTTCCTTTAATCTTAAGCAAAAGAGACACAGGGGTTCAAAAATAAAAATTTCTTTTTTTCCCTCTCCCAAACATTTACCCCAGCTCCGCCACTGCAACCATCCCCTTCCTGCCCAGCAGGGCCTCGAGCAGGGAGGGTGCGGGCATCTCCAGCTGGGTAGGGGGAAGGCGGGGCGGGGTGTGCCGAGCTGGTGCCGGGCTCTTTCCAAATATAAATACACATGTCAGAACTCCTGGAAGCTCCGCCCCCACCCACCACGCATGCGCCCTCCATGCTCTGCCCGCTCCGAAGAGGGGTGGGGGTGGGGGTGCCAGGCACCGGCTGGCTGTGGTTCACTGCATCCGCTGGGTGTGCACCCCTCGAGCCCCCTGCTGCTCGTTGTAGAAGAGATGACACTCGGGGTCCCCCCGGATGGTGGGGGCTCCCTGGATCAGCTTCCCGGTGTTGGGGTTCACACACCAGCACTCCCCACGCTGCCCGTTCAGAGACATCTTGCACTGAGGAGAGAGGAGGACATAAAGGACACCCCAATAAAAACAAGGGGGGTCTCACTGAAATGCAGACTCCTGTTCCGAGGTCTGGGTGTGTCTGCCAATTCCGCATGGACATCTAAGCTCCAGTGGGATGCTGGTGATGCTGGCCCAGGAACTGCGCTCTGGTTATTACCAAAGCTGCTGGGGGTGGCCTCAATAGAAAGGCTTGGCCCCCACACGTGGGGAGGTCACATCCAGAAGACGACCCAGTGTACGGGATGGGTGGATGTACACTTGAAACGGGAGGCCGGGAATGCATGTAATGGTAAAAGGTCCTGCTCTATGCTGGGCGTGGTGTAAGCAATCTCTTTGCTGCCTGCTTACAGTCCCTGTCTAACACAGATTCATTGAATCCCCACAATCACCTTGCAAATTAGGTACCAATGGTTTGCCACTTTACAGATGGTCAGAAGGAAGCACAGACTTGGCCGGTGTCGCAGAGCTAGTGAGAGCCACAGCTGGCACACCAGCCCAGGCATTTCCCTCCCAGGGTGCCTGCTCTTATCCACGGGCCAGTTCCTCTCGAAAACCCCGTTTATCCATAAGGTTCAGAAGAAAAGATTGCTATTGCTTCTTTGGCACTCCAGAGTAGCTGGCTTATATTTAGTAGGGCAGGTGTGTGAACTAATAGCTTTTACTGCTAGACTGAGTATTTCAAGGGACAAGATGCCTGGGCGAAGAAGATGGGGAAGTGAGATCCCCTGGGGGGTCAGCAGAGCCCCGTACCCCATCTTCTGGCTCCACACACCCACACTTTTAGTTTTTTATTTGGTGTGCCAAGTCTTAGCTTGCAGCATGTGGGATCCAGTTCCCTGATCAGGGATTGAACCTGGGCCCCCTGCATTGGGAGCAGTCTTAGCCACTGAACCACCAGGCAAGTTCCCACATACCCAGCTTTTAAGTCAGCTCCAATACCCACTAGGATCACCAGGGGAGCCTTTGAAAAGCCAGTGCCCAGAAAGCACCCCAGACTCACAAAATAAGGATGTCTGGGGGTGGAGCCCAGGCATTCGTATTGTTTAAAGTTCCCTAGAGAAGCCCAGTATGCACTTGGGCTCAGATCCTCCACTGGAAAACAGAATGGCTGGTGGACCCCACACTCTCTCAATCCTGCCTTACGTGAAATGCACACGGACCTTTTCTCCCTACACAAGGGATGAGCTTGAGAAAGTAAGCAGTGGGCTAGGTTAAAGGACAACCCACCAAGATTAAACAACTGATAACAATCACCACTATAAACTCTATGTGGTTAGGTGAATACACATATACACAAAAATCATTAAAAGGCATACGAGCAGAGTGGAAGGGGGAGGGAAAAGGGTTCTTTTAAAAACTTAAACTTTCTTAATTTTATCTAATGTACTCATGTTGTTGTTCACTGTTTAGTCGCTAAGTCATGTCTGACCCTTTTGACCCCATAGGACTCTAGACCATTAGGCTCCTCTGTCCATGAGATTTCCCAGGGAAGAATACCAGAGTGGGTTGCCATTTCCTTCTCCAGGGGATTTTCCCAACTCAGGAATCAAACCCGAGTGTCCTGCATTGGCAGGCAGATTCTTCACTGCTGAGCCACCAATGGAAGCCCTCTTCTATTATCTGTTTTAGTAATATTTCAAGTGGTGTTTCTCCATTCCTTGAGATACTGGAAAACCAGAGAAGGCTACCTGGTTTTGAATGGTTTAAGTCAGTGATTCTGGAAGTGGGGTCCAGGGATCATCAGCATCTCTGAGACCCGGTTAGACATGCAAACTCTCAGACACCCCTCGACCTTCTGAATGGCAATCTCCTGCAGCCGGGCCCCCAGAATCACCTGCAGGTGATCCTAATGCTCAGTAGAAGTCAAGAGGCACTGTTAGGAGGCCTATCTCTTCTCAGAGAGGCTCCCTCCCATGCTAACCGCTGCTGGCAGGTAGCCGGGGAAGCGAAGTCAGCCTCAGAAGGGACTGAAGCCAACAAGCCCCGCCCCCGCCCTCCCTGGCCTGGCAGCTGGCATCCCCACCCCTCCTCGGCTGGCATCCCCGCCCCCCTCCTCGAAGAAGACTGGTCTCGGGCTCAGCGTTGAGACCTCAGGGGCTTACTGGTGGCGTGGGGGGGGGGGCAGAAACAAAGCACACCTGGGCGGAGGACACCCTCACTCACCTGTTTGAGGTTGTACAGGCCATGCTTGTCACAGTTGGGGATGTGTAGGGAGTAGAGATGCTCCAGGGGGCCCCGCTCATCCGGAAGGCGCATGGTGGAGATCCTCTCCAGGACCTGGTCCAATTCCTGCTGGCAGGGGGTCTGCAGGCACAGGCACACAGACAGGACACTTAGAACCGGCTCACGCAACGCCAGCCCCAGCACGCTTCAGAAAGGAGCCCGTGTGCAGAAGGCCACTTTCCCAAGGCCACACAGCGTGAGCTGGTGGAACCAGGAACTTCTGACACCCAGCTCAGCAAGCTCACTGCCTTACCACCAGGCCCCGCCCCACTCCAAGAGAAAGTCAGCCTGCAGGTGAGTCTTCCCTCTTCTCCTCCATCCTTTCAGGGGCCAAAATGGGATCTACTTGCAAACACTGAATTCAAGTATCTCTACCCCATCCAGTGGCCCAACCATCATTCCCTTCCATAAACCCATCCAAGGGCCAAGACACCAGAGCTGAGCTGGCAAAGAGGAAGAGGGGTAGCTGAGTGAGGGTAGTGTATTGCAACAGGAGTGGGCAAGTTCAAATGGGAGTGGTGATGATGTAGTTGCTAAGTTGCGTCTGACTCTTTCGACCCCAGGGACTATAGCCCGCCAGCTCCATGGATCCATCTTCATCTCTGGCTTTTTTTTTTTTTTTTGGCCTGTATCTCAAAGCCAAGCAGGGCTTCCCTAGTAGCTCAGCAGTAAAGAATCTGCCTGCCAATGCAGGAGATGCAGTCACTTCCTGGTCAGGGAGACCCCCTGGAGTAGGAAACGGAAACCCACTCCAGTGTTCTTGCCTGGAGAATCCCATGGACAGAAGACCGTGGCGGGTCAGTCCATGGGGTCACAAAAGAGTCAGACACATCTTAGCAACTAAACAACAACAATGAAGCCAAGCAGAAATGTGGAGGCTTTAGAAGGGAGGGACTTCAAGAACCCATATGTCCAGCCCATTTCACAGCCAAAGATGCTGAGGCCCTCAAAGAAATACTGATGTGCCTGAAGAAACATTGAATGTTAGCAGGGGAATCAGAAAGTACTTTGCCTGCAGGCACAGAGGACATGAATCGCACTGTGGTACTCCCGACCCCTCCTGCTGGGACACTCCCTTTGACCGTCCTCCCACCCCTCCAGCCAGACCTGACCCTCTCTGACCCTAGCAGGTGGTGGCCGCAGCTTCTTGGGCTCCTCCAGGCCGAGGTGATGTTTGCCACCCTTGCCCATCTGCCGGTGCTGCTCCGTGACCTTCTCCCGGAACACAGCCAGCTCCTTCATGCCAGACTTGAGGGGCTTCCGCCCGGCACCGCCTCCACCTCCCAACATGTTCACGTTCCCATCCACATGGTTCTCGACCAGGCCTCCCTCAGAGTGCTCCTCGCCATTATCTGCAGAGAGGAAGAGATTGAGAGCTGCAGGTCTCGTTTCCCCAGACGTGGGCCCTCCAGGGACCGGCTGAACCCCTGACAATGACAAGAAAGGGGATGACCGATGTCTAAGTAACAGCGCTAAGCAAGATGCGTGGATGATCAATTTCAGTTTCACAGCCACTAGGAGTACCAACTTCCCCCAGCTTCTACAGTAGACGGAGAAGCTGAGGCTCACGGAGGTCAGCTTCTTGACCAAGATCACAGTCCAGGATGTGAACGCAGACTCTCACTCCAGAAAAGAGCCGGGGTCACCTACTCTGCTCTGTCCATATCCCAGGAGGCCAGGCAGGGTTGAGGGATCGAGTGGGCAAGGCCCTCACCAGGGAACGGGATTAAGGCCATCAACTCTTCCCTAGAAAGACCTCTCAGATTCACCCACCACTAACCTCCCCTGTTTATAAAGTCTTCATCATTTATGGTCTGAAAAGGCATGGATTAGATGAGTTTGTGGAATTCAAGCCAAGAGAGCACTGGTGTCTGGTGGTTAGTGAGGCGGAGATCAGGTCGCCACCAGGACGCAGCGCCCAACACCCCCTCCGCCGTCGCTCTTCATCAGCCCGCCTGCCCCCTTCTTGTGCTTCCAGCATGGAGAGCCCCCTCCTCCAGCGCAACCCAGGGACCCTGACTTGTTTCCCGGTCTGTCTATGCATGCTGCCCCACCCCCCCATAACAGGGCTTCCCTGGCGGCTCAGATGATAAAGAATCTGCCTGCAATGCAGGGGACCCGGGGTTCGATCCCTGGGTCAGGAAGATCCCCTGGAGAAGGGAATGGCAGTATTCTTGCCTGGAGAATCCCATGGACAGAGGAGCTTGGCAGGCTATAGTCCATGGGGTCACAAAGGGTCAGACACAACTGAGCGACTACCACTTTAACCCATGACATCGAGAGCTCCCAGAACAGAACAAGGACCATGCTGTGGTTTCAGCTTATTGCAGGGCATGTAGCCTCATATCCAAATGACTCTCCAAGGTCCACCCATTCAGTTTTTGAACTTTCTTAGACCCCCAGCCAGTCAGCCACAGGGAACAGCTCCTACTGTGTCCACCTTTCATGTTGCATGCCCCACACCCCCACCATCTCACGTAGGCTTAGGTGTGTCCAGCCAGGGAACAGTGAACGATCTGGAAGGATCCTGACCTGGGAGACCATTTCCGGAGAGCTCCAGGTAGGCCAGGAGCCCCTAACAGACAGAGCAGGGGCCTCGGGGCCTGAGACAGCACTACAGCCCCCTACAGGCCCAGGGAACACTCAGGGCTATCTCCAGACAAACCTTGCACATTTTCTCTTCCCCTTTAGTGCACCTCCAAAAACTTAGTCTGGGTAACATACCCAAATGTCTTACAGTAAATACTTCTACACAAGAATTTCAGGCAAGGTGCTTAGTATTCGGCAGTCCCTTCAGAATTCAGGCACAGCGTGGTGAGCTGTCCCAAGTAGTGCTGTATGGAGGAAAGATGCTGACCCTTACCTGTAAAAGGAGGGCCGTGATAACCTCTCTGGGCTGGTGTGAGCTTTGGTGTTCACTCCTCATCAGCTAAGGGCTGGGACCCTCCTCCATGCCTCAGGGAGCCGGTACCTACATTCTCAGAGCATCTCCTTCCAGCAGACTCCAGGGAATCAGGCCAGCAGGGTCCCCACAAACACAGAAGTTCAACAAAGGCTGGCGCCCAGCCTTCCCCTTCACACGGGACCTGTTGCCTGTATGTCAGCTCTCACTAGCCAGAGGAGAGGATCCCTTTAGAACCCAATACATTATTTCCAGAGACTGGTGAGCACTGGTTAGGAGGGCGGACTCGGGCTAAATCTCAGCTCTACCATCTTTTACACCAGCCTGTATTTCTCCTGCACATATACTCGCTCTGTGCCTCTGTTTCCTTAACTGCAAATTGTTGGATAATAATAGTTCCTACTTCACAGAACAGTCGAGTGTATGTTAAAGGGAAAGCTGGTGAGAAACGGTGGACACAGAAACTATGTCCTGTTGGTGGTGATTACTTTGATGATGACGAAAATGGTAATAGTGATGATGGGATGCTGATGACATCTGTCTCAGTGATCTACTACGCTGGCCACGTGGAACCTGACCCAGAAACAAGCAACAGAGGAAGATAAGTTTCACGAGCATCAGGACAGCGGTCACCACGCCCGAGCGTTGTAAAGCAGTGATGCTTTCCCCACAAGACAGGGAAAGTCAATACATGAAGAACCCTGATGGTTCACAGTAGTACTGCTCCAATAAGCCTGGTTTCTGCACGTCTGGTTTCCAAGGCCACCACAGAATAAAATCAACAAAATTAAAAGGAATAAGAAGGAAGGCATGTTGTTGGTGCAAGAAATATCAAATGGCAGAGAGGATAGAGGACAGTTTAAAAAAAACAGAAGAACTCTGGGGATGTTCAGTGCCCTACAAACAACTCCACAGCCACTGATGACCCCTGAAAACTTCCACGTGGTGTGGCCCAAAATAAGACTCATGTTGATAATGTGACCTTGTGTGTGTGTTAGTTGCTCAGTTGAGTCTGACTCTGTGACCCCATGGACTGTATAGCCTGCCAGACTCCTCTGTCCGTGGAATTCTCCAGGCAAGAATACTGGAGCAGGTTGCCATGCCCGAGGCATGCAAAAAAGGAAAGGATAAGCATGTCAAGTATTCAGTATTTAAAAAAAAAAATTTCTATCCAAAATTGTTAAACTTTAGGAAAGTAAAAATCGAAGTATTTAAATGAGCAAGCCTTCTGAAACCCAGAAAATGTTTCTCCAGAATGGCTATTTCCCCAGAGGCTCCAGGTAGCCCAGATTTTATCATAAATAACCAAGTGCAGGTGATTTCCTATTCCAGAAACCCCAGCACCACCCGCAGGGGAACGCGGGTCTGAAGCATCTGACGCCAGGTTGGGTGGGAGTCCGGATCCACCACATTCTACATCAACCTGCCCCAGATGCTCCTCACCCTGCCCACCTCCCCTTTTTGTCTCTGAGGCCCAAACAGCAGAAACCCAGAGGCCCTAAGAGAAGGCGCTCCTGGTTCCCCAGCTCAGGTACTGGCCATGTTCCCCTGAATGGGGGGCTGGCTACAGCTTTCCTCTGGGAGTGTTCAGGCAGCTGAGGCCAACCACAAAGAAGATAAGATACCTGCCTCCCTGCTCAGATATCAGAGGTGGAGGGTAGCAGGCTGCAGGGAAGGCTTGAGAGAGTCTGAGATTAAACCTGGTAAATAAACAAGATGGTCTGATTCTGGTAACCCTCCACCTCCTTCATGTTAACCTTGACGGATGAGGCAGATATTGGCACAAGTGGAGAGGACTCAACCCCACCCTCACCGCCAGTTCTGCCATTTCCATTTCTACAGGCTTCTTTGCCCCTGGACCCATGGGACAATTTCAGGCTCTCTGTCCCCATCTCTGCTGGCACGGCCCAAGGAACACCGAAGGAAAAGAGCAAGATGATTACAAAAGTCCTGCTTCCACGCAGGAACCATGCAGGACCCCATGGGAAAGACAATACAGGAACCTGCAGATCACCCTCACCCAGCCCCAGTTCACCCTGGGCACGACCCCAACCTCACCATACCCTGCCCAGCCAGCTTCCTGCCCCACCGTGGCAGAATTTCTGGGGACCTCAACACCACTTCCAGCATTCCAGACCATGCATTCTGCAGACCAGGAAACTAGACAAGGGCTCTGGGAATCTCCCACCATTTCTGGAACCATCTGCTCTGCCGTCTGAAGCTGTGACTCTCAGAAGCTCAGCTGGCTCCTCTCTTTTCACAGGAAGCCACTCCAAGGCTTGAACACAGCCCATCTCCACTGTAGCTGTAATCACACCGGCTCAGGTTGGAGGAGAGCAGGTCAGCCTGCGTCCTCTGAAGGAGCTTCTGGAAAGGGCCTACTCGCAGGAACCAATGTCTGCAACATTCTTGAGGTTGGGGTCTCCTGACCTCAGCACTGCTGGCCTTGGAACCAGAAGATTCTTTGTTGGGAGCTGCCCTGTGTGAGGCGCCCAGCACCATCCCGGACTTCCCCTCTCCAAAAGCCAGCAGCGCCCTCCCCAAGTTGCAGTAATCGAAAATGCCTTTGAACATTACCGGGTGGCTCCTGGGAGGCGAAAATGCCCCCAGGTGAAAACCACCGTTCAGGAGTTAGGCTTTATCCAGAGGCCTGATGTTCTCCATGGCTCAGTGCTCAAGACCCCTGGCCCTTCACAAAGCAGCTCCGAGCTACACTGTACCCCCTGCCCCGCCTCAGCTAAGACCCCCCTCCACCACGGTTCCAACCCCAGGCACGCCTCTGGTCTCCGAGCCCACCTTCTTGGCGATGGTGGTGGGGACTGCAGAGAACCGGCAGCCTGCTGACCCCTCTTTCCCAACTTTCCCGGCACTCGTATCACTGTGCCTAGAAATGAGCCCCCAGCTGACACTCAGAACCAGGCCCTCAGAAAGGTCTGGAAACACTGGGTGGAGGCGAAGGGCACAAAGAATGCTCATTCAGGGCCTCTGGCTCCTGGCAGGGCTGGCCTGTTCCTTACGCACCACGGTGGGCACAATACCCAGAGCCCCAGGAAATGTTTTCATTTCTTTTTAAAAACAGAAGAAAAAATAATAGCCTTTTAGGTCACAGCAAACATCCTCATATAACACTGATACGTGTCCAGTTATAAAAATATGATTTTAAAACATTTTTTGTGGGGAAGGGGCCCATGGAGGCAAACATGTCTAGGGCCCCCAAGTCATATAAAATAGCCCTATGCTGGGTCCCAGAGGACAGGGCTCCAGTGAGCAGTCTTATCCCAGGAGTACAGAGGTGGTTTCTCGTCCCGAGATGTCCCCGACCGCTCTGAGCTGAAGGTCAGTTTGTCTACCCTCACAGAGGCCGCCTGGGTTCGGGTATGTTCCTGGAACCCACTCCTTTATTGATTTCATCATTGCCGATGAAAGCGCTAATAAGATGAGGAAATCCAT